GATATTTTACATATATGTTTAAATACGCGAAAAATTATCGATTTGATAGTAAAAGAACGAAAATTAATAGACACTATTGCATCTGGTAATCAAATTGTTACTTTTGAACAATCAGTGCCATACATTAAATACGGAAATGATGAATATAATTGCAAAGTACTAAATAATGTTACGCTCCATAAATCAAATTTTCCAGATAATAAATTGTTCAGTTCTAAGTTTGAAAAACGAGGTTTACATATTGCACACCTTAATGTTAATCACTTAATGCCTAAAATAGACGAAATAAAATACAATCTATTAAACAAATTAAATTCGCCAGATATTTTCGGCTTTACTGAGACATTTCTTGGTGATGATACAACAGACGATGAATTAAATATTAACAATTTCACACACGAAAGAAAGGACCGTAAAAGTTGTCAAAAAGGCGGGGGAGTTGTAATATATATTGCTGACAAGGTGCCATATCGGCGCCGTTACGATATAGAAACGGACGAATTAGAATCTGTTTGGTTGGAAATTATTTACCCAAATTGCAAACCTTTTCTTTTAAATTTTATATATCGCCCACCAAATGTACATCAATCTTGGATTGACGATTATGAAAAACAACTAAGTATAATAGATATATCAAATATAGAATATCATATTCTAGGAGATGTCAATATAAACTTTTATCCAATGAATAAAAAGAAAAAATATGACAATACAAAATGGAGGGATTTGATAACGAAATATGGTTTGAAACAGCTTATCACAGATCGTAGGATAACAAAACGTACCCAAAAAATTATAGATCATGTTTATACAAACAGTAGCAGATATATTATTGAATCGTTTGTTTCTGATACCTCATTAAGTGATCATTATCCGATAGGTATTTCAAGATCAACGAAAGCATGTAGTACCCGATTGATTAATGAACATAATTCGATTAAATATAGATGTTTTAAAAACTTCAATGAAATTGATTTTCAGGCAGACCTTGCTTTATCCGATCTTGAATTAGTCGAGCACATAATAAATCCGAATGAATCCCTTAGCTTATTTTACTCCATTTTAAATACTATCTTGAAAAAGCATGCACCAATAAAAGAAAAACGTATCAAACGTGAACACCGCCCGGAATGGTTTACTGATGAGATAAAATATCTTATACATGAACGCGATTACTATCATAAAGTAGGGAAACATGAACAATACAAATTGCTCAGAAATAAGATAACATCAATGATTAAAAAAAGTAAAAGAGATTTCTTTAACAATGCTATTAAAAATAACAAAGACCCGGCATTTTTATGGCAAAATTTAAAGGACGTTTCAAATCTAAATAAAAAAGGTTGTATTACAATGCCAGACAGACTAGTGACAGGTAATAAAGAAATTTACGGAACTGTTAATATTATAAATGAATTAAATAAGTATTTTGTCAATATCTCGAATGTCATACATAAAACAAAGTTTTCAAATACAAATTTTTCAAAATTGAAAGAAACTTTAGACCAAAAGCTAATACATCATGAATTTAATATTGAATTAATTACACCGTTTGAAGTAAAACTTATTATTGAAAAACTGAATATTAAAAAATCTACAGGATTAGATGGAATTGGACCAAACATCATCAAATATTGTGGAGATTATATTACACCAATAATTGCATCAATTATCAATAATAGTATTAAATCTAATATTTTCCCAGATGATTTAAAAAGAGCTCGAGTTATACCTATTTTTAAATCGGGGGATAAGAATGAAGCAAATAACTATCGACCGATATCAATTTTGTCAACTATATCCAAAATATTTGAGCGCCATATTGCCAAACAAATACACTCATTCTTTGAAAAAACGAACATTATTCATAATAGACAATCAGGATTTCGTAAAAATCATTCATGTAATACTGCACTCATAAGTTTAATAGATACTTGGTTAAAAGATGTTGACAGTGGAAAAATTATAGGGACTGTATTCTTAGACTTAAAGAAAGCCTTTGATTTGGTTGACCATGAAATACTTTTGCATAAACTTAAACTTTATCATTTTTCTGAAAATGCCGTTAAGTTTTTTATGTCATATCTTTCTAACAGAATACAACTAGTTAAGATAGGTGATCTACAATCTCAGACAATGAAAATAATTTCCGGTGTTCCACAAGGCTCAATATTAGGACCTTTATTATTTCTAATATACATAAATGACATAGCTTTCATTGGTAATGATATGAAAATTGATTTATACGCAGACGATTCTACTCTTTATGAGTCCGGAGAAAATATATCAAAAGTAGAAATAAAACTTCAAGATCATTTAAATAACATTGACAAATGGTGCAAAATAAATAATATGGCCTTAAATCCAGATAAATCAAAATGTATGGTAATAGGAACAAGACAAAAAGTAAATATTATGAGAAAATTAATTCTTAAGATAAATGAAATAGCTCTTAAAAATGTAACTGATCAAAAAGTCTTGGGTATTTGCATAGATAACAACTTAAAATGGCACTTGCAAATTGACAATGTTTGTAAAAAACTTAACGGAAAAATTGTCTTATTGAAAAAAATATCGTATTTTTTGCACTTTGATATGAAATTATTGTTTTACAATGCATATATATTGCCCATTATGGACTATTGTTGTATTATATGGGGTAAAGGAAACACAAACTACATAAATAATGTTTGTAAGTTACAAAAACGAATTGCTAAAATCATTTTACAGCAACCTCAAAGATCTCCGTCAACAAATCTATTAGAAACTCTTAATTGGTTACCGTTCCTTGACAGATGTAAATACCACACGGCGGTGCTTGTTTTTAAAACTTTAAATAACATGGCACCGACGTATATGACAGAACTGATGACTTTATCCGACAACAAAATATATAACTTAAGATCTAGGTCACGGAAAGATATTGTATTATGGACAAGACCTAAAACAAATTATATTAAAGACACATTTTCTTATTATGGCATGAACATTTGGAACAATATACCTTTAGATATTCGTAATGTTAATAACCTTAAATGTTTTAAAGAAAAATACAAAGCATATCTTGATGTTCAAATGAATGAATGAGTGAGTGAATGAATGAATGAATAAATATATGAACGAACGAATGAACGAACGAACAAATGATGCAATATACATATATGTTTAAACAAAAATTGTTGAGTGCCTGTCGAAAGTATATGAGTTGTATTATTCTAAAAATTACATATTATACATTCATTTTTCTACCTATGAATGTCCTGTTGTTGTTGTTGTTGTTGTTTTCTTTTTCAGAAGGCCACTTTGGAAATAAGATATATATGATTGTTATTGTATGTTCTTAATGTGTAACCTTCTTTAAATAAAGATATTATTATTATTATTATTATTATTGACATTAGTGTGTGTATTTTTTATCAGTAGATTTACACCAACGCAATGCCGGTTACGTCACGTTTGCCAGGTACACTGTATTATATCTTATTCAACTAGTTAAGAATGGGTTATATGATTATGAGTTACAAAAGCTTATATGATGTTTGCTTCTCCACTAAATGCCTTTTTTATGAGAAAAATTGCATTCTTAGGATGACTTCAGTAGAATTAAGTTTTATTTATACGCTAGAAAAAAGTGCTCAATGAAAACATTATTTTTCGTAATTTCTTTTCGGAACATCATTAATATGCAAGAAAAAAAATCAAACACTGCATGGCTGTCGTCTAGCTCTCGGGTAGCTCGTTACCGCCGTAAAAAAAGTTACATTACCCTGGAGTTTGTACCGGCAGCCGGACGGTAAGATCTTTATTAAAAATCACACGTGCGTGCATATAAATTTGTTTGTTGTGTAAATCTTTTATGGCTTTGTCCTGCTAACAAATGTGAAATGGATTTCAATATAAGAAAGAAAAAAGAAAGAAAGAAAGAAAGCTACCAACAAAATATATAGAGTATTATCCAATTAAGGTTATAAAAGACATTCTCTGAGCTTAAACTCAGATCTCAAGTACATGTATTTGATTGGTCAGAAACTGCCACAAAATGTTCAATGACCAATGAAAATCTTCAGATTTGAAACAGAACTCGGAAAAATTTTGAATTTATAATACAGCACGCATCATTTTTTAGAGAAAAAAATAAGATTTCTTAATGAATCGACAGAAGCCGTGTACAGGTGTATATAAAACTATATAAACGTCACGATTATGCAATGAAAAGCGACTTTACAAACGTGCACCATTATAACTGGGATGTATCGTATGTTCCAGATTATAATTACTGACCTGGTCTGTGCCTTTTTTAATTTGAATCGTTTTGTTTAAACCCATTAATTCTTTATTGTGGTGATGTACTGTCCTTTAAAATTTTTTAAAAAAAATTTAAAGGCTTTTAAAAATTTAAATGTTTTCATTTCATGTATATACACTTAAGTAAAAGTGAAAAGATTCATTTTAAATTGTTTTGTGTGTAATGCGGGGATTCATACCGATATGTTTTATTTAAATATACAATAAAGCTCTGCTGTTTTCCCTGTTATAATGCATGTTTGTTTGTAGTGATGTTATGTCATACATATATCAGAATCAAATTTAAAAACTCCAAATTAATTCTCTCAATATTAACTTGATACAACTGGACTTGAAATACCATGATTATGAAATTTTTGAATAAATTTATTATTATTATTACAAGATACGGGCATTTTACAGTTGAATTGATCCTATAAAATTGATCCTCATTTTTGATCCGATATTATTTTTACAAGTATTTGTTAAAATTGTTATTTTTTGATTTTATACCAAAATCGGTTGTTTTCTTTGCAAATAAGCAATTATTTACATTTCGAGTATGTACCATTTAATTCTAGCATAATACGATCATTTTTAGTGGCATAAAACAATGAAAATAAAATCGGAATCAGTTGATCTTTTTTTGCGAGCACGGTCGGTCGATACCGGCAAATTTAAATGGATTACATCTTGATACCGGAGACTGTCAATTAGACGGTTCAACTAAAAGGGAGATAACTAAAAGTTAAGGTCATATTCTCTGCTACACTTTTTTATGTGCAATTTAAAAATATGTGGTACGAGATACTGCCTTATATTGGCCTGATGATGGGGTGTGCTGTTGTTTGCGATTATATAACAGTGCCGTTCACCATGTTTAGAACGGGAGGACGTGTAAGTATATTGTAATTATGCCTAACTACAGTATCCTACAGGTAAACAGTTATAAACGGGGTACGGCTCATTGATTGAATGTTCACAAATATTTTAGCACGGGGTTTAGACTTTTATCTATATTACCCCCCTACCTGCCCCCCTCCTCCTGTTGGGGCACAGGGTTTGACGTTTTGATCTGTATTTCCTCTACCAAACCCCCACCCCCCCCCTCCAAGTCCCTTTTACAACCCCCAAAATTATTATCCAAAGTCAATTTCCACAAACAAACAATAATATGACACTATTACACAATTTTCATTATACCTCTATAGTATTAGTTAATAGTTATACGAGGGTAGCAACTCATTCGCCCTTCCAGTGCTTTAATTCTACCCAAGTTTACATTCAATGTCATAAGTCAGTCAAAATTACTTGGTCTTGATCAATAGAGTATAGATATATGTATGCAATGACATCTTCCGTATTAAGCAGTGTTAAGTATTTTGTTTTATACAATTTTTATTTTGTTGTTTGTGGAACATCCTGGAATCCCTGCAGTGAGCTTTTAGCTGTATGATTTAACAAAATGGAATCAGACAGAATTTATGCAACAAAAATTTAGCGTTGCATTCAACAAAATCAACATCCTTTTTGCCCACCGTCAAACACAGGAATTATTTTGTGCTCTGTTTTACTAGTGAAACTTGAAAAATGGTTTCAAAAGAATAAAAAATTGAATTGAATTGAAATTTGATTATTTTCTGCTAGAAATTTCACTTGTTCTGCAGGACGAGTATTTCTGGGATTTACTCGTCCGGAATCAATTTTTAATCGTATTTACAAGCGGACGAGTGGATTTGTCGAGCCCTCAGGGCTCTTTTATACTAACACTGAAACAGCTGGTTACATGGAAATCTGACAAGATCTGATTCACATAAACATAGAAATTTCCATGACTGAATTGCTGAAAACCGACAATGTTGTTTAAGAAATGCCATTGCATCTGTAGAAACTAAACGACCGATGACTCTCACCAACAAAAATCCAGTCCAGATCTATTTTATACAGTAGCTACTCAAAGAAATACAAAACAGAAATTTTCTTCTTTTCTCATGCCTCCATACAAATACCTTATCTGGAATACATGTACTCTACTTTTATCATTTAAAAGATTGTCGCTCAACGATAAAATTAGAGTATACTGGGTGAAAATGTTTGTGTGCTGTGACAAAGAACATACATATATTTTTTTCCTGCTACCAAAGTCTAGGTCAAAGTTAAGATAAAACAGATGGGTACATGGACCATTTAGATGGATTGTAACAAAAATGATAACTATTATGACTACAAGTGTGACACATGTAATTTGCAAGGTCAAGGTCACTAGAGATGATAAAAGATCAGGAAATTGCCCAGAGCATTATTTCCTGATGCATTTCTATATACCCACATCAGGGACATCTCTGTCAAAAGCGTTTGTGATGGGCTTTACAGTTAACATTAAAATGCTCAAATTTTCAGCAAATGCTGCTGGAATATTTATATATGCTAAAATAATAAAAGAACACCATAGCTGCTGAAATGATATATTAGGATAATTAGAAAACACCACCCAAGCCATTGTCTTGGTTAAAGTGAAGTCATGCATACATTCTCCCTTTCTGGACACATGGAGTATTGTAATGAAGACAATTTTGTTAATTTATGATACCTCCCCGCACAGTATGCAAGTGTCAGAATTTTGTCAGTGACTTATTATACAGCTCTGTGTATTGTTAAAGCTACATACCTCCAGATGAGTCAAAATATTTCAATAAAATCAAACTTGAGAAAAATGAATTAAGATTTTAGGAAAAGTAAAAAGATTTAAGATTCAAGTTATAATTTACATGTTACAGTATGTGCGATTAATGACTGTTTTTTACCAGGATTAATAACTACATTCCTACTGCATTACTAACACAGTAAAGCTTATTTTTGCATATTTTGGTAATTAATATGGCTTTATGGGTTGCAATTGCCATTGATAATGTTTAAATTGCTTCATTTTGGTTACCTCACAATATGATACTTTTAAATACATTTTCAAAATTTAATTGATGAAAATTAGCATGAATCTGGAAGTGTGCTGCTTTAATCCTAATTATCTTCAAGTATATTTTCAAATTGACTCACATTAACAAACTTGATTACATATATAAATTTGATATAAAGGTTTCATGCCACTCTACAAAAAAAAAAATTATACTAATTTTCTTGAAATATTTAGGCATATATGGAGGCATGCAGTTTAAATCTTGGAGACATCATAAAATACTTGTTTTTGATTATCTACCTGACGTTTTGGTTAATGTACTATAATTCTTATTTGGCTTAAACCCATCAGCTTACTCTGGCACAAAAGTCCCTATATAAAAATAAAATACATTTTTAAATTGAATAATACCCTTATAACAAAAATTACCCAAAATATTATCAAGAATTATTTTCCAGCCAAATTCAAGTGTAACCTGAAGTAAATGACATAAAGGAAGCTCACCAACATAATATATATCAGTGGTTAAACGTAGTGTCTAATATACTATTGTAAAATTATTCATGAAGAAATTTTCATGAAATCCTGTAATGATCATTTGAATACAAGATGACTAGCTGTAAAGGTAGCTGGCTGATATTTTTTTATTACACAGTTTACTACAGACAAAATTATACCCTTTCACAATGATCAATAAGACAAAATGTATGTGGCTATACCTGATTAGATAAATAAATATTACAGCGCTAATCTCAAGTTGCTTCTCCCATGATGTCCCAGCCAAATATGTTACATAAACAAAACTTCATCTTTGTTAATTTCAATATTATCCAGGCTTGTTAAACTAACAGTAATTACGGAACATCGGTGGTTCTACTCAGGTGTCCGTTTGTGCCTGAAATAATGCACGGAAGGGCACCTGAGGTCTTCCTCCACCAGTAAAGCTGGAACATCGCGATATGTCCTATACTGTGTTGATGTGACGTAAAACCCAAAACAAAACAAAACTAACAGTAAAAAGTACATGTACTGAGGGTAGGCAAGCACCAGACATGTCATTCTTGTAAACAAGTATTTTGAGTACAATTACCATTTTTACTGTTACAGACAAAAGTTACTGTCCTATTTTCAGCTCATGTTTGTTTTGGTTTCCTTTTTCAGAAAAGAGAAAATAGAGTTGGTGTAAATAATCAGCATGATTTTCGTCTAATGGCAAGAGATCGTTTGATTACTGGTAGCATCCATAAAACACTGGTAAGTTATAGATCAGCACTATAAAAGCTACCAAATTGTCATGCATGTCTATCAATTATAACTTGGATTTTATGAAGGATACTGTCAGATGTAAATTAATTTTTCATTCTAAACAATGCATACAATAGGAAATTGTAGAGGGCACCTGGTCCAGTAATGGTTTAAAGGACTCAAATTAAAGCATTATAATACATCTAAGTACATACAGAATCTAATTAAATCTCAATATGTTATATATTGATATATTATGGATAACAGAACATCATTTACGATGTATAAAAAAGCTGGTCATAATTTCATCTTCCTTTTTGTCATTATTACTCAATAATGAATTGTTATGGCTAGGAAATATTAAATTTCTTACATAAAATAAAGATGATTATGTAAAACAGGTTTTTATTATGCCAACATTTACGATGTGTGTATAATAGGGTGGTCCGTCCATGCCAGTACATTATATGTCCTGTCATCCTTGTCCAATCTATAGCTAGAGAAGTAAGTAGCTATGGGTTATGTGAATAAGTAGGGAAATCACCAATGGCCAGTAGCTATCTAAGGGTGATTTTAAGTTCATTATGTCAAGGTCAAGGTCACAGTGACACTAAAGGTAAAATTCCTGTCTGATCAATTACTTAAGAGGGATAAAGCGTTAGTTTATGTAACTTGGTAGAGACATTGTTTACGGCAAGTAGATGACCCCTTTTGATTTTGAGGATATCATAATGTTACAGTGGCACTTAACAATAACATGATGTTATAAGTCATGGTTTATGTACATGTAACTTAGCCCATGACCAGAGGATGAAACTTATAAGTGATAGTATGTCAAAGGTCTAGGTCGCACAGACACCTAATGTAAAATTCTTGTCTGATCAATAACTTGAGAGAGAATATTAAAGCCATGGTTTGTATTACTTGATAGGGGCTTTGTCCATGACCAGGAGAGTACTTTAGGTCAAAGGTCAAGACTACAGAGACAATATTCTTTCTTATCAATAATTTGAGAATAAATGAATTGTTGTTAATGTTACTTAATAGTAACATCATCTGGTATTATGATAATATTGTCAACTACTGTGATAGTATGATTAACATTCGGTAATTAACATGGTCATTTAACAAGAACTACTGGTATAATTATAGTGTCTTCAAAAGTGAAATAACTACTAGCATTGTGGCAGCTATGCTTATTTCTATTCTGTAGTTTTCACATGATGAATGTATTTTTATTCCATACAGTTGTAACAGTTTTAAAATAGCAGTGGTAAATTAAGTTAATACATGTTTATAAATTGGGTTATTCATATTTAAAGCATTGTATTAATTGCAGTTTTTATCATTTCAGGGCCTTGAGGTTATTCCTGATGAAGAGTAAATAATGGAAATATGAAAATAAAGAAGAGAAAGCTTTGACAGTTTTGAACAACTTATTTCATCATAATTAAGTTTTTTGGAGGGAAAAAAGTACTCAAAACATCAACAGAAATGAACTATGATTTTGTATTGTGTATATATTCATATTTATATGTTTCAGATTGACTTTTAAGCCTGACTTTATTGTCTTATAGAATAAATATGTAGATATTTCAAATGATCCTTCATTTTGTTTTCAGCATTAAAAGCATGATGAATATTGAAGTGAAAAAATCCTGGTCAAAATTATCTCTTAATCTGCTCAATTGCTAAAATGAACATGTCCAGTTTCCATTTTTAGCTCAACTTTTTAAAAGAAAGAATTTGAGCTATTGTTACAGTCATGTCATCTGTTCCCATTCCAGGTCAAATTATTGCAAATTTGCGTAGATTGTCCTAACTTTGTTAGATTTATTATACCCCCACAAACGAAGTTTAGGGGGGGTATATAGGAGTCAGCTTGTCGGTCCGTCCGTCGGTCGGTCCACCTTCATGGTTTCCGGACGATAACTTGAGCTAGGAATGAGATATTCCAATCAAACTTGGTGTACAGCAAGCTTGTATGAATACCTGGGTTGGTATTGCATATGGACCCCCTGGGGTCAAAGACTAGGTCACCGTTACTAAAAATAGAAAAATGGTTTCCGGACGATAACTTGAGCTAGGAATGAGATAAAACAAGCTTTCTTGAAGACCTGGTTGATGTTGCAATTCTTTGTACTCATTTTAATCTTCATAAATTATAGTTCAACTTCAAACTATTGTTCACACCACTTATTTTTCAAACGTAATGGTTGCTTGTGGGGGTATTAATCACCTTCAGTGATAGCTCTAGTTAGATTTATTTCCAGATTTGATTTATACTTGGGACAAAAGAACAAATATGACAAAACCATCATGATATGACTTTGACCTTCAATTGACCTTGTCCCTCATGAATTGACATTGACTTGCAAGGTCAAATTATTGAACTTTGCTTAAATTGTCATTATTTTGTTAATTATTTATGGATTTGATTCAATCTTGTACAAAAAAACACTTTTGACAAAATTGACATGATGATTATATTAAATTTGACCTTGACCTTTGTTGAATGACCTTAACTATGAAATTTTACTTATATTTTGTACAAATAAGCAATTTTTTGTAGGAGTTTTCTTTACTGCAGTAATCTTCCTTTAATAATGTGTTTGACTTTAGAAAGAAGAAAAAGTCGAGCCTGACCCCCACAAGTCAGTTGTTGAGATATCAGGTTGAAAATTGAAGTTGGTTAGCAAACTCTATAGGGCTTTTTCAGACTGCACAGATGTGACGGTTTGTCAGGCTGTATAGCTAGCTATCTCAGCTGGGGGAACTATACTTTAGCTGAGTTAACTTTTAAACAAACCTAACTTGTGAATATACCTTCACCTGCTGTAACATTTTCATTAAACATCTGCTCCTACACCACTTTGTCAATATTATTAAAACTAAGCAGGAATGTTCCTGGCATAAAGTAATTTCAAAATTATTATCAACCCCAGTTGCCATGGGTACTTAAAGAAACAGTCTTTTTCATAACAACAAAGCATAGATATTTGATATGAAACTTTTCTAGTCGGCTTCTTCCATGTTTATTAAAACTTGGCCCTTTATTAAAACTTGGCCCTGACGTCAAAATTGAATAAGCAAGCAGTGACTTCCTTAGCAACAATTGACTTTTACAGTAAAAATTGACTTTTTATTTTATGAATATCAAACATATTTTTAAATAATAAGTTTACTTTTTTTTTACTGAAATTTACTTTATTTTCCGTTGGATATACAATAAATACATTTGTGATGCATTATTCTAAAACGATAACATACACTGTTTTGTTTACTTCTGAGTAATGTGGTAGAACTATTTTCAGGTTTAATGTGGTGCTTAATTACGAAATGAATTTATTTGGAATTTTAATTATCCTCGCGAAAACAAGCCAAAAATCCATAAACAGTTTGATTTCAGCCCGATTTTTGTTATGTAATAACAAGTAACTTTCGTTCACAATGTAATGAAAACTATTGTTAATATCGGATATCACTATGGGTTTAAGGTTACCAAAAAGTGGGTGATAGGAAAAATTTTTAATTACTAACCAGTATTTCGGATCTTTAATGCTTTTATTAACACTCTTTGTACATGTATAAAACTGCTCTTATTAACACTTTTTGTATATAATTGCTCTTTATATTAACACTCTTTGTATAAAACTTCTAGGTTAGCAGGGTTACATTTTAGCGTCGGAGGAGTACATGTTGCATCTCAATGGGACATAATTCAGTGTGTGATAATTTGTTTTGCACAAATGCAGTTACCTCCCATTGATTAGACTCCAGATAAGCAAATTTTCCTAAGTGGAATTGGCCATGAGGTTACTAAACTGACCTATAAGCTCGTGTACCATTCAAAAACTGCACTTTGTTTAGGTTTGTGTGTACATCACATGGTGTATTGTTTGGTAAGTGGTGGCGTACGCTATTTCGAAAGGTATTCTAAATCTTGTTTTTAGTCCTCTACCGGTTTAACCAGAGGGGACTTTAGGTTTACCCTCCATCCGTCTGTAAGTCTGTCTGTCTGTCTGTCTGTCCACAAAACTGGATCCCGCGATAACGCAAAAAGTACTGAAAATATTTTTGTGAAACTTGATATATGGATAGATGGCAGTATGGACATTATGCATGTCTTCTTTTTTTTCTTCCTATGTTGAAGATTCTGGTTGTTATGGCAACAAATAGTCTGAAAATATGGCAAATTTAACACATAAACTGGATCCAGGGATAACTCAAAAAGTACTGAAAATATTTTTATGAAACTTGAAATAACGGTAGATGGCAGTCTGGAGATTATGCACATCTTTTTCTTTTCTTCCTATGTTGAAAATTCTGGTTGCTATGGCAACAAATAGCCTGAATTTCAAGATTTCTGATGTAAAATTTTCAGCTTTTTCACTATAAGTTCTTTATTTCTTAAGGTGTTTACTTCAAACTTTAAATATAAGTTTCTGGTCATCAACCACATCATATGTGACAAGGTTTACAACTCTAGCACAAAAATTATCAGTATTTCCTCCCTTGAACTTAGAATTTTTATGGAAAAAAATGTTGTCTTTTTTAAAAAACTTCTTTATTTCCTAATGTATCTACTTCAAACTTCATATATATGTTTCTTGTTATCACTCAACATTTTTGAGAACGTTAAATACTCTAGCAAGACTATGTCCAGAATTACCTCCCCCTTGAACTTAGATTTTTTTCGAGAAATTGGTATTTTTCACTCCAACTTCTTCATTCCTTATAGGATTTACTTTTAAATCCCACATCATAATAATATGACAAGGTTGTATAAACAGAATTTCCTTACTAGGCACGGAAACTTAACACATTACTGTGATATAGACAAACTTAGAACTCAAAAGATTTAAGTTCATTCATGTCATTCATCCACTGGTAAAATTGAATGGCCAATGGCCCATCAGAATGTTGCTGGAGTTCTAACCGGTAGGGGACTTATGAATTGCTTGCAATACTATGATAATTGCTTGTTGTGTCTTTTTATTGTCGAAATTACCTCTGTTTCTTTCAATTTATGTAACCCATGTTCCAGCCAACTTATAACTACGCTACCCACATTACTAAACAATTTTACACTGAAGCCGTGGTCTGTGCAAAGACTTTACTGGCAGCTAGAGAAACTTGAAGCGGGGAAAGTTTTCCATTTAGACATTCTAGTTATCTAGTTGTAGTTGTTATTCTTGATTCTGTCGGAAACACTACTAGTCGTTTAATGTTTTATATGGCAGACTGTAAAAACGAAACATTACGACTTTATTTTGATGTTGAAGGAACGGCGCGGACTTAATTAAGTATGTTAAATATACATCGACAGAAAGGGGAATTTCCCTAAGAAATAGTATATAAATCAATCGCTATATGGTCTAATAACAAATTGCAGCACAATGATTGTTGTATAAGTCCTATAAAATACAGCAAATATTAGATGCTGTGAAGGATTTTAATGATCTTCATTTTTCTTGGTACTGTTTTTAATTACGCTTGCAATTTTCACTCGGTCAGAAAAACTTGGTAGATAAAGCTTTAAATGTTTTATTGTTTGTGATTGTAAAAAGGTTTATATTAAACCTAAGAAGGTTTATATTAAACCTAAGATATTTTGTCGTTTACTTATTGCTTTCATTGCACATGTTTTAGTATAATAATTATGCTGATCTGAAATTACACTGACTAAAGAATCGGGGAAGAAAAAATAATTTAATTTTGTAAATATTTGCTTTATTTTAAAATGAATACTCGCTCTGCCGCAGTATATGGTAAGTGCGTTTGTTGCACGAGTGTATATCAATTTTAGAAGTTTTTATTAGTTTGCGAGGAAATTTTGAGACTAAATTTGAACAACTCTCAACTCCAGTTCCTGGACCTAAACTGTGTTGGTGTAATATGAAGAAAAATGGTCGTGACACGAGTAAGACTCGAACTCCTGACCACTGAGCTGAGAGTCACTCACCTTAACTACTAGGCCACTCGTTATGTGAAAGGTTTGGTGTAATTAAAAACATCGACAAAAGTACTGAAAAAAAAAACATGCAGGTTTTATTTAACTTTGATAGTGAATACTGAAATTTGGTTTTAAATCCTACATTGACCCTGTACGTGATGTTCACTCACAAGAATTTTAAACTCAATTTGGACAGAAACTTGACTAAGAATAATACACCTGGTGAACAGAGAGTTTGTTATGTTTATATACAATAGCGTTGTTCAATATCCCGAGGAATTGTGTGAGGTGGTTCATTGAAAATGTTTCCTCAATGCATGCTTAAGGATTCTGAAGTTCCTCTTACCAGATAAAATGTGACGCAGGCAGCCAGTAGTTCCAAGACAAGGACAATCAAGTTTGTTTACATCAAAATAATTATATCTCTATATGGCAGCATTATACATGTGTTTGATCGTAATTAATGATTGACGATATCGTAATAAAAATAATATCGTAATGTATATCGTAGTTGTTTAATTAATGTAAGTTTACGTGCATGTAAGACTTGTATAGATATATCAAAGACTTGTACAGTATAGTTTTTTCACCTAGCTGCCAGTTACATATTCATGTCAATGTTTTATTTGATATTCATATGATAT